TGGTAAGCATTCTGGGTCACTATGGCTGCCGTCACATCATCCAGGTGGATGCTGCACATTGGTGGTGGTGGAGGGGAGTCCCCATTACCTGTAAAGCACTTTGAGTGGAGTATCTGGAAAAGCTAAGCAGTTATATACTATAGTTATAAGAAACCTCCCTTTATCTGGTTCTTCATCATGGAAAATAAAAATGTATTGTAAAACATTTATTTATATGCTTCTTTTTTGTTTTAGGAAAAAGAAATATTTTCTGCTGGGAAAATGTCCAAAATATAATCCGTGTTGATGTGGTAAGTAAAAGAACATTTTATGTCTTCATTTAATGACATCATTTATGGTGGTTATCGGAATGAGACTACCTACTGTATTTAAGACAGCTTAACTAAAAGGAGAGCAGGAAACAGGTTGCATTATGAGTATTTTGAAAGACATTCAATACATTTGTTATAATGTTTATTGGAACTTTATGCATATACAGTACGTTGACAGGCACTAACCTTCATCAGTCTACTGTTTAGTCAGAATCCTGTTTTTTTAGAAGATGTAATTATTATGTTATATTCTTTGAAAACTACTGAAGTTAGTGTGAAAGAATTAATAAAGCACTTCACCAAAAATCCATATCCAGGCATTGACCCAGATTTCTAAAATGACAGCAACCAATAACAAGAACTGACTTGGATATATAGGAAATGTATATAAACAGTCAGTATCAACAGTTTTAAAGCTGTTTCTTTTACCATATACACCATTACCATTCATCTACTATATGTTACAAGCTTCAGGTTTTTTTATTGTTGATTTGTTATTGTTGACTATTAATATTTATACAACACTATGGATTAATTCAGAATTGAATGCAATGTGTGACTTAGAAGAAAAGGGGGCATTGACAGATTAAACAAAATATAAAGTTATTTGTAAACTCATCTGCTTTTACCTAAAGTAACTAGACTATTGCATAATGCTTCTTATAAAATGTTCAGTGGGAAAAAGACTGAACTACTCTTTTTTAAATTTTTGCTTTCTGGTCACGAAGTATTATGTATGTACTACAGTGTGTAATAGGGAAGCATTCCTTTTAAAACGATCTTGAGTGACATACACATTCCAGTTACATTATGAAAATTTACTCCAGTTGTTCTTATCTTGGAACCAAGGGGCCAATTGGTTTTTGGACCTCTAAACAAAAGCAGAATTTTTCATCACAGGACTAGTACTCGGGTACTGTACCTCTCATTAATAGATTTTCCAAAAAAAAAGTTTACAGTTGAAAAGCTGATTTTCACTTTCAGCTTTTCAAGCCGGATGGTTTTTAATAATTGTGTAGTTGACTGGTTTATATTACAGTGGGTCCCTCGGCAGTGACATGTTGAAAAGGGTTCTTCTAACCAGAATAGGTTGGTTTACACAAATCCCTGATATACACAATCAGAGCAGATCACATTCGTCCTGACTTGCAAAACATGCTGATTTTCACATAAATATTTTATTGTTTGTAGCAAAATAAAATATTTGTATGTTTTATATCTTCTTAAGCTTTTAGGAATCTTTTCTGTGCATTTGATTCTTGTTCACATGTGGTGATAATCACATAAAAAATTAGATTCATGAAGGACAGATGTTTCAGAGCTTTGTGGTCTAGATGTCTTTGGTTTGACTGTGGGTCAGGTCACTAGATTGCACTGTTTTGTGCTGCTAGAGTACATTTGGTGTTAATCAGCCATAGCCCTCTTTAATCCTGGGACAACGGCAACTCCTGTGATATTAGTAAGAGACAACCAGTTCCCACTGCATAACTTGCACCTTATTAGGTGACGAATGAGCTCTGCAGGTGGGTGTGTCTGATGAGTATTTCTTGCATATTTCTCACTTCTCACTCATTTTCTGAGGAGTCACTGCCAAAGAGCCTTAAAAAACTGGTTATTCCAGGCAATGGAAATGCTTGGAACAATGTTTTTTTTAATAATGTAACAAAACAAATTGCACAATATGTTAAACTGCACAACTACTTGGAAAAAATAGTTGGTACTGCATCTCTTTTTACTGATTGGTGTGATATTTTCCAATTCCTGTCGTCAAATAAGAATGTATAATATACAGTATGTCAGAGTAATCTATTATAGTAAACAGGCAATCCCTGTTGTTTTCTCTGTTTTACATATTCCGATTGAGACTTTCTTTACATTATCAGGAACTCAAACTTAATTCTAAAATGAACATGAGTACTGACCTAAAAAAATACCCCTGAAAATCTGAATTTGGGTAAGAAAATCCTTAAGTAGGTTAGGTTGAACTTTCAGGAGATTAGAATGGGTAAAACAAAAACAAAGGTTTGGTAGTTTTGGCCCACATAGCCTGAGACTTCAGTGCTGTGCCACAAACAGCATGCAGTCTAACTGCAGTTCATTATACTGAATGGTTCTTTGTTCCTCTTCCAAATAAAGTAAAAGAACATGTTTCAGACACAGTGATTCAGCAGATAGACATTGATTTGTATTGTTTCCTGGTTTATTGAAAATGAGAAACCAAATGTGTTTAAGGTACAGCACTTTTCCAATTAATGTCTAGCTGTACAAAAAAGTTTGAATGGTGTGATATCCACCAGAAACTGCTTAACCAATGTTTAAAAAATATGGACTGTTTTCTTATTTTGTGTGACATAGTGAGTCTATACCAGTATAATTGTAGTCTTTGACAGTTCACCTACTCTCACTAATGTTCTGGCTGCTTGATATTCATAAAATCACTCTGTAATCATTTTATAGAGACAAAAATATTATACCCAAGCAGAAATATGATTTAAAAACTGTATAAACTGTATATGTACTATATACTGTATATGGTCCTGTCATTTGATCTTTTTTCTCTATTTTGATTTTATTTTTAAGGATATAGTTTTATTCAGTAACTTTAAAAAAAAATATGAATGCATTCCTAAAATAAGTCGGATGTATAAATAAATACAAATATGTAAATTAAAGTCAAACTTTTTAGATGTGTTTGATTAAATATTATTTGATCATGTGAATTTACTAAGACTAACAAAGCTTGATGTACAGAAAAATATCTTAAAGCTGATAATGAAGTAATGGCACTTGTGCAAGAAGCTCTTTATTTCCCACATTTGTTCACTCACTATTTACAATAAATGTCAGTATTTTGTAACTATCAGCAGCATACGTCCCCTGTTTCTTAAAGGAATTGCTTCACTGTGCATGTCAGATGTCTTTCGTCACACTTTAAATTCTCAAATAGTGGTGAACCAATTCTAACAATAAAATAGAAGCCGTGAATGCAGACCTACTTTAGTTTTACATTGTGTTTTCGATAACAGGCTAATCTTGACAATTATAATTTCAGTTAATGGTTTTATGGATACATACTGTATATGCAGGTAGACAAGTACAAGTACACATGGATATATATATTATCCAACTATCTGCTTTATCCAATACAGGGTTGTGTGGGAGCTGAAGCCATTCCCAAGGTGGGGTACACCCTGGATGGTATGCCAGTGCAACACAGGGGACTTACAAACACAGACACACACATGTACACACTCACACCAGGACCCATTTTCATAGAAACCAGTTAACCTACCAATATGTCTGTGAGCTGTGGGAGACAACAGGCAAACACAGGGGAGAACATACAAATTCCACACAGATAGCACCCCAGGTTCATAATGAAACACAGTGCCTCAGCACAGGAAGACAGAAATGCTAACCACTGTGCCACCCTGGATATATACAGTATTATATGTGTATAAAATTTATGTTGAAAGGGAAAAAAAAAAGCATAATTATTTGCTCTCCTCTGTTAGGTTTTATTTACCTGTTCCAGAGTACGTAATACTATATCTGTTGGATGAAAAAAAGCTTTCATCACCACACAAACAAAATGACAAAAATAATTTAATGCGTTTTAGTTACTGTAAATATTTAAGATACTTAAAGTGGTGGCCTTTGTGATATACGGTACTAATGTCTGTTGGACATAAACTGCAAAACAGAAGGTCTATGTAATATATTTTTTCCCTAGAAAGACAACTAAATCTGATATTTTTGGTCAGATTTCCACAGGAGGTGTAAAGATCAGTTGTATTGCTTGTTTCAAATATCAAACCAGGAAAATCTGCAGCTTTGTTACAACACGTAGATCTGTCTTAGAAAATCTTAATGTACTGTATGTGATAGGGTGTGGTTGACACTAGTTATCCTGACTATGTTTAATGAGGCTGGATTTCACAATGTTTCTATGATTTGGTGGGTTTAATGTACTTTGTAATGCAGTATTGACAGAAAAGAACAATATGAACCAGAAAAAAAAAGTTGAAAGAGTATTAAATTCAGGGTTTGTTTGATAGAACAAATTTAATCATGGCTTCAAAATTGTTAACAAGGGAGAGAATAAGGTTGTCGTACAAATTCCATACACACACATTGCCTAGTAATAATTTGTTATTTTGCAGGGTTAAGGAAAAATTATTCTTTACTTTTACGGTTTATAAGTGATGTTATGTAAAGAGCTGGAATTACATTGCCATAAGAGCAGATTTTAATCATTAAATATACATACAGTACTGTAAATGAAGTTCAGATTAAATGACCTTCTGTGTTTTGTAATTATCACTTTTGCGGGTTTGTAGTTGAAGCTATTTATAGAAGTTTGCAGTGTGCCCTGGTTTCTTGTTTGGCAAACTTGAATGTTTTTATGCAACATGGCCATTGCCAGCAGATTTCTGCAAGCTCTGTGTGCATCATGTAATATTATATCAGTCCTTCTTTTACAGTCTTGCAGGTGATGAAACAAGTAAAATTTAAATGAAGGTGGTTTCTAACGCCATTTATAGTCAAATAAAAGTAATTATGGCTCATACCGAGTTAAAATGTGACTCACCTCCCCTTTCTGCCCACTGGTTTAGTGTTGAGCATTTGTTTTATCTCGCCTTTATCTTCAGTTAAAAAGGAAATCAGCAGGTTGCTCTAGGTAAGTACTGTAAATAGATCTGCTTAATGCTTCCAAGTTTTTTGGATGGATGCCAGAAAAGGGAGGCCCTTGAATATTTTTCGTGTTTAGCAACATCGGTCAAATATTTGTAGTTTAAGAAAACATGCCCACTCCTGGATGCTTTTTATAATTTTGTGTATATGCATATTTTGAGCTATGGTATTAATTATAGATTTGGTGTACAGCAGCTATTAGGAGTAGAAAATCTAATGATTATTTTTAGAAGAAATGCGTAGCCTAAAAATGTAATGGTGCAAAGCAAACTTATTATTATCTG